GTTAAACGATGGGGGAAATTCCTCAAAGAAACCCATCACTGTGTGAATTCATCGTTGTATGAAGCAATCGTGCGAGGCACCACTGTATACTGTTAAAATATCTATTTGGCAAATATTTAGAGGGTTCTCCCTCTCATATTGCAGGCAAAGAAGAGGCAGAAACAGCTCTGCTGCTGGGAGATCAAAGTTCTGAGTGTCACCAGTGGTACGTAATTACTTTGGAAATAAAAAGGAGATAAAATTGGTTCTGTATGTTATACTTCTGTATGTGGTTATTACAAATAGGAAAAAAAATCACATTGAGAAATTGTTGTTCTTGGACAGACGTGTTTGAATTATTGTTTTTCTCCAAATACTTTTTTTAACCACAAATATTTAATTTGGCAAAAAAATTCATAAGTTAATCAAAATAAATCACATTTTCTTCATTAGCTTTTGCCATTTAATTGCAGAGTGCCTTAGAAAATTTGCCTTACAGGATTTTAATTTTTCTGCAGTTAAAAGTAATGTCTCTTCTGACTCTGATACCAGTTGCATTCTTAATCTCTTACGAATCTTCTTCTAGTAATTTACTGCTCTTCCCAAGAGATGTAAAATATAGAATCTGGCCATATATCCTAGACAATATTGGGCTTCATTCAGTTAAGAAAGCAGCTGTGATGCCAATGGCAAAATAAAAAGAGCTCTCTTACTTTGCTTACTCCCCCTCTCTGTTTCTCTACAGCATTTGCAGACATTGTAAAAAACTATTGCCAAGATTAATGTTGCATACTATAAAATAGTTATGGCCCAAATCTCAGTGAATGTTTATGCCAATGAAACATTGTTGGCATAAATTTGATTGGCAAATGGTTGCAAATTGAGAATTTAGAGTTGGCTTTTGCTATTGAGCTCTGAACTTCACAATTGAGACACAACAGCAAATGCCTATGCTAACTTCTCTCCTGACAATTCACCATTAAGATACATGCCAATTGCATTATGCTGGTTGTCACAACTGATAGGATTTTTGTCTCTGCTGATACCACCTGAGGTTAATAACAGGCAGCTGATACTGGGTAAAGTATTGTTGACTTCAGTGATAGCCATGTGTCTCAGAGAATGACAGGTAGGCTGCTGATCAAACATGGTTTATTTTCTTCCATTTATGCTGTATATTGATATAATGTAAGTAAAATTATTCCATTATTTTTACTATAGTGAAATGTAGATATTTTATTAATTCAACATTTATATTAGATATGTAATGTATTTGGAAATAATTTCCTAAAATAGAAAGGCTTACATGTTGCTTAGATTTATAGGATATTCTTACATACCTGTGTTCAGTAACCCATGCTGAGTTCAGTGAGACTTACTCTTGGAATAGCACATATGTAATTATAGCCGTATAAATGGGAAAATAAGTTACATTGTTTTAAACTAGAATAGGTGGGTGACTTCTGCCCTTCCACATATTGTTGATTTACTCCTCCTCTCGTCCCTAGTGAATATTGCTAATAATGGGGTTGCAGTCCAAGAACATCTGGAGAACTACCATTTGCTCACAATCAAATGAATCTCAACAGTCAAGTATTAATCTTAACAATCAGATGACTGTTCCTTGTAACAGTAAAATGAATATGAAACAAGGGTTAGGAATCTCTTTTCTTTGGAGGACATTGCTGCCCTTTCTAGGCAGTAAAGAAGAGGTTAAATTTTTTTTTTGAGATCAGTGCTGCCCTACATCTTTCTGTTCAGAATTGCTCTTTGGAGGTCTTCTCTATGGTCAGGGAGGCCAAGTAGACTGCAGAGGTCAAGGGAAGAGCAAAGATGGGCCTTGGACCCTCTGAAGTTGGCCATCCCATTCTATTTATTTATTTACACTTGTGTTCAAAATTATTCAACCCCCAATGCTGTAAAGGGGTTTAGGGACTATTAAACAAACAATAATAGTAAAAGGTAAAGGTTCCCCCTGACAATTATTGTCCAGTCGTGTCCGACTCTAGGGGGCGGCGCTCATCCCGCTCTTCAAGCCATAGAGCCAGCGTTTGTCCAAAGACAATCTTTCCGTGGTCACATGGCCAGTGTGATTTAGACACGGAACGCTGTTTACCTTCCCACCTAGATGGTACCTATTTATCTACTCGCATTTGCATGCTTTCGAACCGCTAGGTTGGCGGGAGCTGGGACAAGCAACGGGCGCTCACTCCGTCGCGTGGATTCGATCTTACGACTGCTTGGTCTTCTGACCCTAGCTTGTGGTATAATCTTTTTTCAAGTGTTGGCCATCTGGTGTAGTCTCTTAAATTGTCTCTGGTGTCTCTACCTTCTCAGTTGGGTCAGGATCAGTGTGAGTTTCATAGCTGAGGTCTTGCCAGGTATAAGTGATCCACAGTAGCCTTTGGACATGAACCAGAACACTCAGCCCTTTCTACCTTGGGGAATGCTAGGTTCAGTTCGGGAAGGCTCACCAGTTAGAGAGAGTCTGGCAAAGTTGATATAGATCAGTGGTTTATCGGCCCCACTTGTCCACTCGGGAACATCAACCCATTCCTCAGCTCCACTCTCCTCTTCTTCTACCTTTGTTGAACTCTCCATCTCTGCTTCAGTACTTCTCACTTTCTCTGTGTATGAATCTCTCTGTGTGTTCTTTCCAGGCTTCCCTTACCTTCCTGTTACTTTTCCTTATTTAGTTTTCACTAGGCAGTAAGCTCTTTGCATGAGAACTTTTCCTGCCTTTTTTATCCCCTCACCTTCCTATGCCCTTTGTTGCAATGCCTGGGGCAAATGACACTCCTCCCAAATAGTAGGCTTGTTGACAAAAGCCATTCATAGCCTTCCATCAACTTTCACTTGGGGTCCTGGAGTAGTACTAGGGAAGATGCTGAGGTCTACCCCAATGGCAGGCCAGTGTCTATCCACTCACACTGACCTACTCTCATTTTTATCTGAGATGCTTCAAGCATTATCCTGTAATATCCTAAGTAGTTCTCACCTTTAATCATGGGGTAGAGGAAGACAATTTTGCACTCAGGTCAAAACATGATAAAATCTGTGATGTACAGGAACTATCTAATCTTCTGAGGCATTGATATATAAGTTCCTGATGTTCTAGCGGAAGAAAAACAATATAATTCTTTTCCACGTTAGGATGTCTGTGGCCTCTGCATTCCTTAAAAAGTTATTATCTGAATTGAGAATCAGGAGGGAGAGTTGCATGTTTTGTTTGGCTTCAGTATTTGCTATTCCAAGATGTTTTGGAAGTACAGCGAGAGAAGTTGAGATTGTAAACTTCTCTCTGTGGAGGAAACTGCAGGTGCAGAATTATCAATCCTTTAGATAGAATAATTCTGAAAATGTTTACTAATGACTCAGGAAGTTGAAGGTTGTTGTCTGCTTTCTGAGAGTTAACATAGAGTTTGTATAAAAGATATGTGAAGCCAGCCTCAAAACCTAAATAGCTGCTTTGGGTGGCTCAATTGGAAAGGAGAGAAACATGTAATGCCCAGAAAAAACTACAGCACAATGAAGTTTTTAGTTCAGTAATTTCTGAATTCCAAGTCTTGTGTCTACACAACACACTTGTAGCAGTTAGATTACGCTTTAACTGCCATGGCTGCATGCGCTATAGTCCTGGGACCTATAGTTTGGTGAAGTACTAAGAATTCTCTCCTGTAGTTCAAAGGAGGGCACAAGAGGTCTCTGGTGGAGAATTCTGAGCATGCCACCAAACTACAGATTGTAGGCCTCCACAAAATGGGGCCATGGCAATTAACATGAAATGAAACTATTATTAATGTGTAGAATTGATAAACCGTGTGTTTTGGGAAATGGACTATAAAATGTAAGAGTAACCCAAATGCTACAAAATCCTGTTAAACTGGATATTTAGAATTTAGAACTGGGAGTTCAGCTTTATGATCCCACATTATTGGTCTCAAAGTCCATTGTCAGGAAGAGAATCCCACCAACCTCCATTTATTATCCTAGTGCTTCACACAAGAGTGACCTGTAATAAATACCTCTCTGATATATATCAAGCTAAGGTTTGTGCCTGTCACTTGGAAACCTGGGCTCTGCATATATGCTAAATGAGCCTGAACAGGAAATCTTCAACAGAAGCATGAGTGTCAGTAATTGAATGATACATCAGAAGCTGGGGCTACTACCAGGATTCAGGAGTGGAGAGTAGAAGATAACAACAAAATAGCTTCAGCAAAAGATTTGTGGTAGACAATGATATTCAGGATCTCAGTTGTGTTTTGCTTCAGTTTTCCTGTTGTGTGGGTTCCTTTGGCTTTACCACCAACAAATTTATACAGCCTGTATTATCAGTTTGGAGGTTTAAAGTTGCTTTGTTTAATGTCTGTGGGATAGGCAGTTCTATCAAACAAGAAAATAGAGATGGAAATCAACTGCTCATTCAGCGTACTATTTGTTTGAGGTTGTTTTTTTAAAGACTCCAACTCATAGAATGCTCCAAGAATTTCCTAAGCAGAATTTAGGAAATTCCTGCCTACAGGTGCATCCCTACATATACTCACCTGGAAAAAGGTCTGTATTACAGGCTGCCTCAGCTTACTACCTGTACAAAAAAGAAACTGCCCTGATTTTTTTTGGAATTACTCTATATAGAGCCTTATGGGCAGGAAGACTACCAAAACAAAACAAATGGCACATCCACATGGGCATGATGTGCAACACTTGTGACAGGCCTGCAACTGCAAGCTGGTAGTCCTATGGGAACTGCAACTCAAAGCCCACCATCCCATGTTACAGGTTATCAGGGAAATTGAAGCATTTCTGAATGAAGTTAAGAGGTCTCACCTGGAAGAGTAACAAAACAGGAATGCCTCTGGGGAGAAAGAATTCCAAGAGCAGGGGACAAGATGAAACAGCCATGCTGTACCTTTCGATTGTTGTGCTAGAATCATCCTTGGTTTGTCTGTGCTGCATCATTTACCTCAAAGCAGATGTATAGCACTCAAAATACATGAAGCAATAGGGCAGCTTTTGTGGGGGGAATGGACAGTTTTCATTAAACACTATTTATTGGGAAAATGTCACATATTAGTAAATTATGTTTTAACCATTTAACAAATAATTGTTCAAAGAATAATTTTAAAAAGGAAAAATATTGTTAATGTTTTGAAAAAGAGAGTACTGTAGCTATTAGCTTGCTCAGACAGCAACCTGAGCACTGAAAAGCTTAAAAGCAACAAT